GAAGCCGTGTGCCAGGCAGGGTTCCCGGGGACGGGAGTGCTGTGATTAATGACCCCGCGGCTGACTTTTCTATGGCATGGGCTGTTCACTTAACCTGGGGAAAACTGTCCGTAGCGTTGAAAGATGTGGTGAGCCGCTGGGGTACTGCCAGAACCCTGATGGTACTGGGTATTTTTTCTACCCTTTCTGATTAAAGCATCGCTCGGCTATTGTTAAGGCTACTTCTGTTTCAAACAGGATTTCCCTACCGTTTCATCAAAAGATTCATGTACGGGTTTTCCAAGAAGTGGAAGGAGTATGTCGAGGAGTTTCTTGCGGAAAGAAGAAGGTAATTTCTTGGGAAATTCCGTTTCATGGTTCTTTTAAGTATTTATTGAGATTCTGCTTTTTAAGAATACTGTGTTAGAGGAGTATAGAAGTTTGTGGGTGTGTGCATGAAGACTGCATGCCAGGCGAGTACCGCTCGCCGCTTTGGAAGCACACCCTGTCACCTTTCTTCATCGTACTGGTTTGGATCGGCTCCGCTTGCTTACGTAGCCTGAGAGCAAGGAGAGGCAAAGGGCCCCACTGGTTTAGTGCCTGGCACGGTGTCCGTGCGGGCCCAGCTGCACTGTGCCGGGATGAGGAGGTGGCTTTGAGTTTACGTGAGTTAACATGTTGGTAAACTGCTCCGGGCGTTTATTGTTTCTTTTCTTAAACTCCAAATCATTAGGAAAGAACAAAACCAAAACACTAGCGAGGGTGAAGATGAAGAGAGTGACGCAGCGGTGGGTGCAAACGTGTTGAAAAAAGCAGAAGATTCAGCAAGAGGTGTAAAGAAACCCGAAACCAGAACCACTACCTCTGCTTCAGAACCAAAGAACAATGAAAACGCTTGTGGGTATTTAATAATCCTTTTCTTCAGAAAAAAAGTTGTTTTTTTTCTGAGAGCTGTTTTCCCCAGCAAAAGATACCTCCCTCTGTCTGTTCTGTACCTTGTTAATTAGGCTGCGTGGAGGAGGTAACAAACTACTCAGTGTTCCCTGAGGCTGCCGTGGCCAAGAGCACCAGCTTGCTTCCCCGTGTCGGGTGTGCTGAGGCGCCACGGCTGCGAGCGGTCAGGGCCTGGCCTGAGGGTGCCCCGGGAGAGAGCAGAGTCCCTTTTGGTCTGCGGGAGCTGGAGGCAGGGACTCCAGGGCTGTTTACTCTGACAGCAGACTGGACTGAATCTCTTCTCCAGTATGCTCCTTCTGCATAGCGCGCTCTTCTCAGGCCTTCTGGGGCGCCCGGGGGTGCAGCACCCCCACCAAGGCTCCAGCCTGGGGACTCCTCCCCTGCAGTGCCCCCCACCTTTTTTCAGCCAGCTTAGTTCAAACTCACATCAGGTCCCTGAGCAGGTTTGGTTTATGGCACGTTAAGGTTTTTTGCCACAGCTGAGGCGTAGTGGTGACAACTGGGGAGGGACGGGATCGGCTGGGGCCAAGTTCATTACGTCGGCTTTGTTTCCAAAGGAAGTGGTGGTAAAGCCCCAACCTAACGCTCCGCCTGGCTTGTCTTTGCCCGGTAACGCAGTGCTGGCTCCGTCCAGGACACCGCAGCTTTCGGGTTTACCTTTGACTTCTTTTCAGTGCCTTGTCATGGCTCCAGCAGGGCTTTGGCCAACCCTCCTCGTACTGTTGGTTAATACTGTGGCAGGTTTCCGTGCTCACGCTGTAAAAGCTGGTTTGTTTTCCCTGGCGTTAGCCAGGATTTGTTCAGCCTGACAACCTCTTTTTGTCATTCTGCTTCCCTGTATGACTTTTACAGTATTTGTAATCTTCTAAACAAAGTAAAACTAAAAAGCTCACGACAGTAGCTTTTACACCTCGTGAATCACACGGAGGTGTGCTTGCACCTAACCCCAACGCTTTGCAGAGAACAGCATCCCGTTGTGGTAAGTTTTATATTTTCTGTGTAGCCCCTGCAAATGAGCTGGTTTAAACACCAGGTCGCTCCTGTCCGTGTGAAGGCTGCAAAGGTTGAATTTTCAATCCAACATCTGGGACAAAAGTGTATTTCTTGTGTTTTCTCTTAGATACAACACCAAAACACAGTTCCACAGCGAATGACTCGGACAGAGTTTACACTCGTAGTGGCCGTCTGGTTAAACCGCCGTTAAGTTTCTGGTGTGGGCAGCGGGAGTTTGTGGATCAGAATCTGAACGTTACTATCCAGGAAGGTGGAATCGATTACCTGAGCATGGTAAGAGCCTTTTGCACGTGGTCACTCACGTGTGTCTTAAATGTAGTGAATAAACCTGGCGAGGTGCCTAGCAGAGAGTCCAGCTCTGGGAAGTACCTGAAGAGGCAGGAAATCTTGAAAACGTTATAAAGCCATTTTAAAACAAACAAAACCATAGCTGTAATCTCCACATCATCAGCTAAGTGTCATTGTCTGTAAAATGGGGACAGAGGGGAATTACTTCTGGGAAAGTTGGGTTGTTGGGGTTGTTGAAAGATCCCAAATGAGTCTGTGGTGTTCCCAGTTCTCCCCTTCCTGTGCAGGGTCTCATGTCCGTTGAGAGCAGGTTGTTTCCTCGTCTCCCGGACCCTGACCTGCCCAGGTCGCCCCGGTTTGGGTTGAGCTGCGCTGTTGTTGCGTATTGTGACACTCTAAGCATCTCTGATAACGTTCCGATGACAGGTGGAGGCAGACAGCATTCGTTGTGGCAGCCATGAGGGGTTTTTCCCCATCTCTCTAAAATCGGTCGGCCTGACGGGCGGGGGGGGTGTGACACTGGTCATCAGCTGCAGCAGGGAGGACCTTGTCCGATTCACCACCAGCTCGAGCGGTTCTAGGGCTTGGGATCTGAAGCTGCGGGTGAAATATTCCCTCTGAGGGGAGCCTGGCTGCGTTGCTTTGGTTGCGTGCGCTCGTGCAAACACCCGTGTTCA